TTAGTAATACAAAATGTAGGTAAATTTAACGTCATGTAGCTTTAGTCAGCTTGTGCCGTAATACAAATCTACATGTAAATTTTGTATTTTAACGCTTTAAGTAATATTAAATGTTAACTAACGTTTCTCGCGTATGCTTTTCCTCCCCCATATTTCAATATATTATTATATATTACACAGAGTATATTTATTTATTTATATTTTTTCATTAATTGTTACTTTCACCCAGTCCCATGTGATGTCTTGAAAATGAATGTTAAGTAATCTTAAAATTAAAGCATTATTCAAAAGAGGGGGTTGTAAATTCGTCGGGCTTACATTTAACGCGGCAATTAAAATTTATAATAAATGAATGTTATAATAATAATCATGAAAGGGATATTAATAAACGAAGAAACCTTTTCCTTGTTAACAAAATTAATTCGATTGCTCTGTTTCTCGATGTAGTAGTATATATGGTTTTCCGGTTGATTAGAACAACAGGCCCTATCAACATATCACGCTTGTAAACCCTTCGACAAGTAGATACTCTACATAACACATATATACATATACATATGTATATATACATACCTATACGATTTCCCTTACTGACTCTCACTGATATTACGTAACAGGATAATTCTGATATTACAAGCTATAGCAGTGGTTCCCAAATTTTTTTTTGTATCCTATCACCCCCTTTACCAATTAACCTCTCTGTGGCACATAATTTCAGACAATAAAATAACCCTATGTTGCAATAGAGAAATTTGATTGCGTTTTAAATTAAAATTGGTATATATTTTTTTATAAAGGTAATTACATAATGTAATAATGTAAAAACATTAAAAAAAAAGGAGTTAATAACTAATTGTTTTGCATAAATAAGACGAAATATAAAGTTATGAGGAGCATGTGTAGCTATTGCAATAATATTTCGTGGTGGGACTAAAAATGTCCCATCTTGCATTACGGTATATCAAACAAAAGTGGGACACACTTTTAATCCCACCCTACCCCAAAGTGTTAATAGGATATTAATGTTTCTACCTTTTTTTCGTAAAATACAGTAAACAATGGTTGTAAATTATAATAGAAACATTGAACTTTGAAATGATGAAACTATTCATTGGCACCTGTAGCTATCACCAGCCCCTTGAATTATTGCAGCGTCCACTAAGGGATGGTGGCACCCACTTTGGGAATCACTGTGCTATGGTAACATCGTGTTAACATTTACATAAGAAGATAGTAACCCATTTTACTCCATCTTGATTTTTATATAACGTTTTAGTTTAAAAGAGTTCGATCTTTCGTAGAGAAAGAACAGATTGGGTAAGGGTGGTTTTTAAAGGGGAGAAAAGAAGGTCAAGCTGAAAAGATCAAAAGATTTTAACTTGTACTACGTACTTACATTTGCGAACGATCATCGAGGTTTCTTTTTTTTTTTCCTTTTTCTTTCATCTTCTACGAAGTTTCATGCAGTTTCTTAGAAACATTAATTAAAATCACAAATCCCCAATGGAGGAATCCGTGTGATATATCGGAGGTTATGAATAAATTTTCAAATCAGTTTTCTCCTTGTTCCCAATTAAATGCGGCAAACGTATTGGTGATGGTGATGGTAGTGGTGGTGGTGGTGGTGGTGGTGGTTGTTGTACTTTTTTATTTCTTTTGGGCTCAATATGAATGAACTCGAAACGTATTCGACCGAGTCAACTTTCCTCCCCCGAGCTATCCACCCCCTCCCATCACGCTAATTAATACAACTGCCTGCGGTTTTGTTGCCACGTGACAATTTTCATATTTATATACACCGATACCAAAAAAAAAAAAATATTATTTGTCGAAATAAGTGGATGAACTTTTTGACAAAGTAAATAACAAGAGAGGATATAACAAGGATTATACTATATATATATAGTATATAGTATGTATAGTATATATTGTATAGTATAATAATATATAATATATATATATATATATATATATATATA